GATGGGGACCCGGGATCAGGGCTGGGACCGGGATCAGGAGATCAGGATGGGGACCCAGGATCAGGGCTGGGACTGAGATTGGGGCTGGGGATCAGGGATCAGGGCTGGGAGAGGGGGACCGGGACAGGGACCAAGACCAGGGGGTCACGATCCAGAATCGGGACCTGGGATCAGGACAGGGACCAAGACCGGGGCCAGGGACCAGGGATCAGGATGGGGACCCAGGATCAGGGCTGGGACTGAGACCAGGGCCAGGGACTGGAGATCAAAGCTGGGAGGGGGGGACCGGGAGAGGGACCAAGACCAGGGGGTCAGGATCGGGACCTGGGATCAGGACAGGGACCAAGACCGGGGCCAGGGACCAGGGATCAGGATGGGGACCCAGGATCAGGGCTGGGACTGAGATTGGGGCTGGGGATCAGGGATCAGGGCTGGGAGAGGGGGACCGGGACAGGGACCAAGACCAGGGGGCCAGAATCGGGACCTGGGATCAGGACAGGGACCAAGACCGGGGCCAGGGACCAGGGATCAGGATGGGGACCCAGGATCAGGGCTGGGACTGAGATTGGGGCTGGGGATCAGGGATCAGGGCTGGGAGAGGGGGACCGGGACAGGGACCAAGACCAGGGGGTCAGGATGGGGACCCGGGATCAGGGCTGGGACTGGGATCAGGAGATGAGGATGGGGACCCAGGATCAGGGCTGGGACTGAGACCGGGGCCACGGACTGGAGATCAGGGCTGGGAGAGGGGGACTGGGACAGGGACCGAGACCAGGGACAGGGAGTGGGGATCAGGACTGGGACCCGGGATGAGGACAGGGACCAAGAGCAGGGACTGGGGATCAGGCTTGGGACCTGGGATCGGGGCTGGGACCAAGACTGGGGACAGGGACTGGGGAACAGGAACAGGATTCACGATCGGGACTGGGGATCAGGACAGAAAGTGGGGCCAGGCATTGGGGATCAGGGCTGGGCCAGGAGGACCGGGACAGGGACCAAGGATCAGGGCTGGGACCGAGACCAGGGCCAGGGACAAGAGATCGGGGCTGGGAGAGGGTGACCGGGATAGGGACCAAGACCGGTGACAGGGTCCTGGGATCAGGACAGGGACCCAAGATCAGGGCTGGGACCGAGACCAGTGCCACAGACCGGGGATCAGGATTGGAACCTGGGATAAGGACGGGGGCTGAGACTGGTGACAGGGACCCGGGATCAGGACTGGGACCAAGACTGGGGCTGGGACAGGGGGACCGGCGCTGGGGCCAGGCACTGGGGCCAGGGACCGGGGATCAGGGCTGGGAGAGGGGGACAGGGACTGAGAGCAGGGATCAGGATCGGCACTCGGGATCAGAACAGGGATCGAGACTGGGACCAAGGACCAGGGATCAGGATCGGGACCTGGGATCAGGGCTGGGACCGAGACTGGGGGACAGGGACCGGGGATCAGGGCTGGGAGAGGGGGACAGGGACTGAGAGCAGGGATCAGGATCCTGGTCAGGATCACAACAGGGATCAAGACTGGGACCAAGGACCAGGGATCAGGATCGGGACCTGGGATCAGGGCTGGGACCGAGACTGGGGGACAGGGACCGGGGATCAGGGCTGGGACAGGGGGACTGGGACAGGGACTGAGACCCTGGGACAGGGACCGGGGCTGGAATTGGGTCAGGAACCGGGACAAGGACCAGGACCAGGACCAGGGACCAGAGCTGGTCTGGGTTGGGGACAGGGACCGGTGCTGGGGACATAGACTGGGACTGGGGATGGGGACAGTGACCAGGGACAGGGGCTAGGGACTGGGACCAGGGACCAGGGACTCCCGTGGGTCCTCGTGGGTGATGCTGTGGGTCCTGCCAGGGCCACCATAGGTCCACCAGCAACTCCATGGGTGCCGGGGCCACGTGGGTGTCCCGGGGCTGTGGCGGGACCATGCGGGCTAGGTGGCGGGTGCTGGATGGGTGTTGGATGGGTGCTGACGTGTGTCCCCATGCAGGCCCGGCGCGGGGAGCACCCATGGAGCTGCTGGGGGGTCCGGAGCTGGCCGACCTGGTGGCGTCGCTGCCCGGGTTCCTGCTGGCCGTCACCCGCGAGGGGAAGCTGGTCGGCGTCACCGACAACGTCGCGCAGCACCTGGGGCACTCCATGGTGGGCACCCGCACACGGGGATGGGGTTGGGTGCTGGGTGCTGTTCCCCCTGGGTGTAGGTGGCTCTAGCGCTGCAGGATGATGGGTGCTGGGTGCCAGGGGAGGGTGCTGGGCGCTGATCCTCCCGCCTCCCCCCATGCAGGAGGTCCTGGTGTTGCAGGACGATGGGTGCTGGGGAGCGCCGGGTGCTGGGTGCTGATCCTCCCCCCATGCAGGTGGTCTTGGTGCTGCAGGTCGATGGGTGCTGGGGGGATGCTGGGTGCCAGGGGAGGGTGCTGGGTGCTGATCCTCCTGCCTCCCCCCCCCATGCAGGTGGACCTGGTGGCGCAGGGCGACAGCATCTACGACCTGCTGGATCCGGCCGACCACCCACTGGTGCGACATCAGCTCACCCTGCCCGGGCCCCCCCAGGCAGGTGGGTGGGGCCTCCG